CAGAAGCTTTTTATTTTGATGTAGTCCCATTTGTTTATTTTCTCCTTAGTTTCCATTGCCCTAGGAGTTATGTCGGTAAAGATATTGCTACAACAAATGTCTGCTATTTTGCTTCCTGTGGCTTCTTCTAAGATTTTTATGGTTTCCACAAAAACTAAAAATGGAACTGGCATTTGACCCAGTAATACCAGTTCTAGGTATATATATCTCAAGAAAACAGAAACACCAATCAGAAAGGATATATGCACCCCTATGTTTATAGCAGCAAATTTACAATAGCTAAGATTTGGAAACAGCGAAAGTGCCCATCAGCAGACGAGTGAACTAAAAAACTGTGATACATCTACACAATGGAATACTACACTGCGATAAAAAAGAAGGAATTCTTACCATTTGCAACAGCATGGATGGAACTGGAGAGCATTATGTTAAGCGAAATAAGCCAGTCAGAGAAAGATAAATATCACATGATCTCACTCATTTATGGAATATAATGAACTCCATAAACTGATGAACAGAAATAGATACAGAGACAAAGAAGCAACGAACCAACTGTCAAACTATAGCGGGAAGGCAGGAGAGGGTTGGGGGGTTGGTGGTAAGAGATCAACTGAAGGACTTCTATGCATGCACATAAGGATAACCAATGGACACAGACACTAGGGGTGGGGGTGAGGGCATGTGCCGGGGGTAGGGGAAGCTGGGGGGAAGTCAGTGGGGGAAAAAGGAGACATATGTACTACTATTTGTAATACTTTAAGCAATAAAAAAAGACCTTTAGTCAAAAATATCACACAAATGAGGATGCTGTTACTCCATGAAAAGTGGAGTGCCCCTTTGTACTGGCTGGTTTCCTTCCTTGGTAGTGGCCAGGCAAGGTACCTTCAGACTACACAGCGTGCTTCAGCCCTCTTCTGAGGGGTTCCTTAAGTAAAGGTTGGCCATCTAGGGCCCAGCTCAGCTGACTGGATCAGGGCTCAGTGCCTGACCAAGGGTGGTCTAGTCAGCCAGCAGCTTCTGGGGTGACTGAAAAAACAGCCTTGCTCTCTACTGCACAGTGATGACGACCCCGATCAGAACTGCTTCTGAGGAGGGACTGAGCCTGAGGAAAAGATCTCAGCAATACAGAAAAAGAGACAGAGAAATGACAATGGGCAGGATTCCTGCATAAGCGGAAACAGGTCTGCAGAAACCAGGAGGTGAGGAGAAGATGAAAGGGATGTGAGTTGATGCAGCCACAGAACCAGTGAGCTGCCACAGTGTCACAGGATAAAGGAGAGAGCAGGTGGGTGTTTCTCCAGGAGCAGTTACCAGGGTCCAGATGGCAGAACGAAAGCTCCCGTAGGATTCTAAGGGGCACTGAGTGTTTGCGCACCTATGTGGACTGTCAGCTTGTTCTGCCTTACTCCCCCCTGAGCAATCTCAACAAAGACCACCATTAGCTGAGGAAATCTGTGTCTCCTTCCCCTAAAATAGCCCACGCCCACTTTCTCCGGGTCTCTCCTGTTCCTGGGCATAGCTCTTTCTGTCCTTCTCAATGGTCCCTCTCTGTCCCTCTCCCTCTGCTACCTACCTCTTTCCTCATTTGAGAGTTTCTCTTCCTCAAACACTTTGAGCTTCTCTTAGGTGGCTATCATCTAGAATTGACACAAATTTATACTGATTGAATCCAGTTTAATGCATTCTGTTTACCTGGAAGATTACTTTTAGTTATTGCTTGATAACTAAATCAAGCAGAGAGAGCCTAACCCTTTTTTTGTCTCATTGTCATATAATACTTAAATAATGTTGATTAGCAAAGATAATACTCTATAAGGCAAGGAGAAGGTCACCAAAATCTGCATGCAGCTAACTTCTTACACTTGAACCAAATACAATTTTTTCATGCACTAGACAGACAGATATTAAATCTGTACTTATTACAAATTTAATAGGGTCTGAAGACCAGCTGATTCACTGAAAAGAGATGTACCCTAATGAGCACATATCGTTTCAGAAAAAAATGTGAAGACATCTGTCTAACAGATTAGAGGCCACTCTTATTCCTTGTATTCAGCAAAAAGAGAAGTAGACACTGTCTGTTTAGAAAAACTGGAAATTAAGCTCAACATAGGGCTGTGTTTGGTATCAGGGTATGCAAATGTAAGTGAATCTACTGGCTGTGGTATTCAACATAGCTTCTAGTCTTTTCCTTGGGGAAAATTTATATGCACACTGAAGGCTCCCTCAGACATTAAGAGGATTTTACTCTTCAATGGTGATAAAAAGTGGGGACAATCTATGAGATCTTGAATCTGTTAATATCTTTAGAGGATAACAAAATGCAGAAAGCACAGTCTTTTGGTCACCTGGTGGCACTAGCCCATGTTCAACTCAGGTAGTGTTTGGTTTTTCTTTTCATTTAATTTGGTCGCAGGACCCTGAAACCAAAATTGCTTTCTGCTTGCAAAGGAAAATGCTTCTCATTATCCCGTTTATGCAAATCCAGGACTATTAACTAAATAATGAAGTGACCTTCGCATGCAAGTACAGAAACAGTTTGGCGTTGAGGGACTGGGGAAAAATTAGGGCCTGAAACACTGCTGCCTATCAGTCCTCGTCATTTCAAAAACAGAAGAGAATCAATGCACTTCCCTCCGGTTAACTCTCAAGAGAGATGGGGAAATGCTGACCTTAGCCTAGTCTTAGTCTATTAGGGCCCCAACCTTTCCCCCCTCCCTCTCCTTCCTAATCTTTCTGGGCTTTACAAAGAATTGGGACATTGGAGGAAAAGTTAAAATGCCACATCCTGCTCTAAACAGTTAATTCATCAAAAACAAAATTAAAATATAGAAAGTTCCATGTTTTTCTCTATGAATACCTATATTTATGTAGATTTTTTTTGCTCAACATGTCTATAATTTGATATTCAACTATTGGTCAGACTAAGTTCTTTTGTACAGGATGTCTTAGGACAATATATAGGCTATATATTTTTTATCTCTAAGATGGCCCCATTTGATTAAAATTAAAAACCCACTAAGGGGAGAAATTAAAATGATTTCCTTTTCTGCTGACAGAAAACTCAGAAGCCAGTTTCCATGCAACTTTTCTGAGAAAAGAAAAATTAAGATGTTTTCTTAATGTAATGTTTAATCAAGCTGAGGTAGTTCAATTTGGAAAAGAACAACAAAAACACTGATATTAAGGCTTTACAAGTTGATGTAAAATGACAAAATTCATAGAGAAGATATTTGTGTTATCAAATAATTCTAGAGGAAGATCTTCTACCATGCAGATATAACCTTAAATTAGTTTAAAAAATATACTGCAAAGAAAATACATTTTAAAAGGCTTTTAAATACTGATGATCACAGTTCTGAGCAGCTTTTAAAATTTCTTTTCAATTAATTTTTGAATCCTCACAGGCTAGGCTTGTGTTCTGTAAGTTTGATTTGATTTTACAAGGAGAAGCTGACCTCATCTACACATGTTCTAACAGCTTTGACTGGCCAGGCTCAGGCTGGAGAACTCTCAAAAGAGCAGAGAAGAAAGAACATAGCCTTGCAATTGAAATTCAAACTTGCTTGTGTGCATGTGTGTATGGGAGAGCAGCCCAAATAAAGTCCACTTTTTGTTTTGTTCTACTGAATTGGCTAAAGGATTTATAAAGCCAGGGCCCTCATTATGGTAATGTAGGTTAAATACTTTAAGTCTATGCTGCAACCTCATGCATTCAAACCACTCTCAGAACCAGGAGGTTGCTGGTCAAACACTCAGCCCCACTCTTTGTCTGACCAATGGAAATTCAGAATGGCAGCACAAACGCTGCGGGGCAGTGAAACTGTGCTTCTAGGTAACTGCATCCAACAGGGAAAAATAACCTGAAGTGTGAAGGGTCTCACTCCTACCCACAAGACAAGGTGGACAATTTAATTCGCTCTCTTTGCCAGGCTGACAATGCAGCCTGTTAACCCCTTTCCCGTTAAGAGACAGAGGAAGGAAGAGGAGCGCCAGCCATGCTGTGCCCACCCTCCAGTTCACTAGAACACCGAATTGCTGAGCATCCACATGAGCAAGGAACAAACATGGACTAGCGAATAAGAAACTTTCCCCCAGAAAAGTTGGTTCTCTATTTGCTTGAGAGTGTTATGTGACGTTGAAGGAAAAGATGTGTATACACACACACACACACACACACACACACACACACACACACACAGGCACAAAATTCCCCAAACCCAGACACTTTCATCTGGCAATAAAAGAGAGGCACAGGCATTTCAGAAGCTGCTGTCCTATGTTTGTTTCTGTGAAGCATGTGCGATGACGGGGACAGGCTGACAGGCCCAGCGATGGCCCTGTTTAGATTACGCTCCTTATCTGCAGAATAGTGGCAGTCACAGTCCCATACAGGAAACAAAGGGACACTTCACCCTGATAAGGTCTGTACCAGGGGCCCGGCAGGGATCAGAAATGGGCGACGTGGCCACGTGGCAGCTGAGCAACGCCTAGAGCACATGTCCTTCCCGAGGCAGGCGGCCAGCATTCAGTCAGACTCACTCACTTCCGGCTGGATTGTGAGCATGGGATGGAGCTGCCGATCTTTCAAGAAAAGCCAGAAATCCAGACATTGGGTAAAATCTCCCCATTTTAAAATGAGAGCAACTGATTGAAAAATAAATTGTGTGGGTCAAACAAAGCAGGTCTGTGGCTTCGATTCAGCCCAAGGTTAACCTTTTTCTCACCTCAATGAAGAATGTGTGAATAGTTAGAATGGTTTGCTTCTGACTAAATGGCTTGTTTCAGACCATATGAATGAAGTACAATTTTGGTTAGAATCCAGAAATGCCTGAAAATATGCAAATGACTGACTGCACTTCTCCTCAGTAGAACCGGGGGTGAATGCCATAATGAACATAAGAGACTTGTCAGGTGGGGAAAAACCTGAACTATTTCACTTAAAAGATCTATTTGACATCTACTCAATATTATTTTCCAAGGAAAGTGGGCCATCTTACCTGTGCTCTCTTGAGAGCGCTGTGCTCATCAGTGCTTGCTGTTTGATAGACTTTTGCCATAACTATTGTTTTTCCCAAAGGCCCGCATGCTTTCTCCAGATTCTGGCTGCAATCTTACATTTGGGACGGTAAAAATAGAAGACACTGTGGACAGAATGAAAAGTTGCCATTTATATATTTATCAATGTATTTCTTATCTTCTTTTTTAATAAAAATGGATATTGAGATACAATTCTGGAGGGCTAGCACACGGAACATTACAATGTATATTGGCCTTTGAAAGTCAAGTAATCACAGCCCCACTCACATTTACACAGACTTACACACATATGACAGGACAGTCTGCCTTCTCCTCAGAATCACAGCTCAGTTGGTGAAAACAACCTATTTTTCCCTTTCTTTGTGCTGCACTTTCATCCATTCATTAAAGAAATATTTATTGAGTCCCATGCTGTCTTAGGACTCCAGAACCCTGAAGTGCACGAATCAGTAGGAAAAAAAATCGCTGTTCTTACAGATTCCATCTGGGGAAGACAGAGGAAGACTATCAGACAAATATAAACTATCAACTGGAAGTGAGTGTCATGATGAAAAATAAATCAAGGAAGAGAAATTGGAAATGCTGGGGTAAAAGTAGATACATTTAAACAGAGACCCAAAGGAGGTGAGAGGACAAGCCACACCTACCTAGAGGAAGAGGAAGTACAAATGTAGAAAGGGGAAACAGGAAGAACTGACTCTCAGGAGGTAAGAAGAGAAACAGGCAAAAAAGTTAGGAGGCTATTGTAAAAATACAGGTGACAAGTGGATAAAAAAGCTGTGGTACATGTCTACAATGGAATATTACTCATTCATAAAAAAAGAATGAAGCCTTACCATTTGTGACAGCACTAATGGACCTACAGGATATTATGCTCAGTGAAGTACAAATTTGTCAGAGAAAGACAAATACCATATAATTCACTTATATGTGGAATCTAAAGAACAATATAAATGAACAAACAAAACAGAAACAGACTCACAAATGCAGAGAAACGACTACTGGTTGCCAGAGGGGAGGGGAGCTGGGGGACTGGATGAAAAAGGTGAAGGGATGAGAAGATTGGTAGTCACAAAATAGTTTCAGGGATGCAAAATACAGCATAGAAAATAGACTCAATAATATTGCAATAACTATGCATGGTGTCAGGTGGGTAGTAGAAATATCAGGGGGAACACTTTGTAAAGTATATGATTGTCTGACACTATGTTGTGCACCTGAAACTAATACAAAATAATGTTGAAAAAAAATTGAGAACAAAATACAGGTGAAAGAAGACAACCAGTGACTTGGAACACAGTGATATTGGAGAAGGGAGAAAAAGGGGTATGATTCTGGATATAGTGTGAAGATAATACCAACAGAGTCTGTGGAAGAAGTGAGTATGGGTGTGACAAAAGAAAGCTTCTGAGAGAACCTTTATTCACTGGAAGAACAATGTTGCCATTTATTGACAAGGGGAAGACTACAGAGGGAGCCAGTCTGGGGGAAGAGCTGAGGAGTTCAGTTTTTGGAATACTACTGGTAAGTTTGAGATGCCTCGTAGGTGGCCAGATGGAGCATCTGGGTAGTCAGGTGGATATGCAATCAGGGGAGGTGGGACTGGAAATACAAATTTGGAAGCTGTCAATGTGTAAATAATATTTAAATCATGAGATTGGATGAGATCATCAGGGCTCTAAGGAGTGAATATAGATAGAAAGATGTGAGGACTAAGCCCCAGGGCACTCTAACAGTGAGAGGTCTGGCGGATCAGGAGAAATCCACAGGAGCCTGGAAAGTAGAGGCAGGAGGAAAGCCCCGGGAGAGTCCTGTCCTAGAATCCAACGGAAGGAAATGTTACCCAGAGGGGAGGGTGGTCAACTGGGTTGAATTCTGCTGATGGATCAAGATGAGGGCTGAGGAAAGGTCAATGGATAGAGACTTGGAAAACAGCGGTTTTGGAGTCTTAGGGGCAAAAGCCTGGGTCAAAAGGATCCACAAGGGAATGGAAATCTAGGAATTACAGGCAGCAAATATATTTAAAATGGTGTATGCTTGTTTTACTTTTTAAAAGGTGACATGGAACTACCCTGGCACAATGCTGTTTTAGGGTAATATCTAGGACATATTTAGGACTGGGTAGGAAAACCTGCAAACCTTATAGCTGGAAAGGTCCTTAGGGAGCACTGTTTCTCTCAATGAGAAACTGGAAGTGCACAAGAATAAGAAACTTGGCCAAAGTTGCCGGGCTACTTAGTGGAGTTGATGCTAGAATCCAGGAGGTCTGGTTCCCAGTTCAGGGCTCTTCACACTGCACCAATTTGTTAGGCTGTTTTTCACTGCAGATCAGAGTGCTGTGAATGAGCAAATGAATGTAATAAAATCAAGGCCTTTGCGCTATGAAGTGTATTTTGTTCATTTACTTTGACAAGGGTAGTTCAGCTTCAATAATTTATGTCACTTGATAGTATACACAGGAGAATGCCCTATGGTGTGTTTGGGAAAAGTAATGAATTTCTTCTAAATCAGCCTCTCATTCACTTCCCTGCAATTAAATCTCTGTGAAGAAGTGGGGCAAGGCTGTTGCGGTTTCAGGACAGAGGAAGAATGACAAGGTGCCACCAGAATTAGCCAGCTTTAACTGCAAGATCCCCAGGTAACTGTGCCATTATTCCTGCTTGATAAGTTTGTAATTCCTGCCTCACTGGCACACTAATACATTACTTCTAAATTGTGGTATTATGTAAACTGATGGGGTTTTAAGGACTATTATAATAAAGAAAGGTACTCTATTGTCATATGTTCTTCCAAAGCAAATAAGAGTCTGACATAAGTAAACAACTTCATCTTTGTATAATCCATGAAATGACTGCAGTGCTCTATCTACATAACCAGGGCTCTGACCACATTCGATAGTCTTCTCTCAGGGTCTGATACATTATAGTGGCCAAGAAAGCTGGTGCCCACTCTTCTCCCTTCTGTCTGGTTTCATTTTCTGCTTGCATAACTGTTTTTCTTTTGTCAACATTATTTTTAAAAATGCTATCTTTTTGGCCAAGTTCCTTATTCTTGTGCGCTTCCGGTTTCTCATTGAGAGAAACAGTGCTCCCTAAGGAGCTATCTTTTAAGACTGTGAGTGCCCTGGACTGAACTGTGTCCTCCCAAATTCGTATGTTGAAGCCTTAACCCCCAACATGATGGTCTTTCGAGATGGGGCTCTGAGTAATAATTAGGGCAAGATGAGCTCATGAGGGTGGGGCTCTCATGACGAGATTAGCAGCTTTGTAGGAAGAGGACATGAGAAAGAGGTGACTCTCTGCCATGTGAGCAGACAGCACGGTAGCTGTCCACAAGGCAGGGAGAGGCTCTCACCAGGAACCCGATTTGCCTGCCCTTTGAACTTGAACTTCCCACTTTGAACTTGAACTTCCCAGTGCCAACAACTGTGAGAAACCGTTTTTGTTTAAGCACCTCCCCACCCCTTTGACTATAGGAGCCTGAACAGACAATGCAGCGAGGTGCCTGGAATCGATGAATCTAAACCATCACGTGCTTGCTAAGACGATCCATTTATTGGTTCTGTAACACATCTTCTCAGACGGGCCTCCTACCAAATCTCCTTGAAAAGGAAGCAAGCACAGGAGGGTACTGCCAGCTCTACTGCCATTGCCAGCTGGTGAACTTTTACAAGACTCCATGCTAATGCAAAACTGAATGTTAAGAATTCCTAAATATAGTCTGCAGAACCTCAACCTAGATAACAGTCACCAAAACCAGTCATTTCACCCAGAAGAACTAGTTCCAAAGTCTCCTCCAAAGTCTCAGAGTGCTTTGTTTTGTAAACATGTGTATAGGACTACCACGTTGTTCAAAATGGAAATGACTATAGTATTTAATACTGGGACTATTCTTTCTTGGGACTGGATTTATGCATCATAATGATTATCTACTAGACACAGAAACAGCATTTCTGTAACTCAAAATTGTTACCAGAGGCATTTAGCAGAATCATGCTTTAAAAAAAAATAATGATTTCTCATCTTTATTCTCTCCCCTTCAAAAGGTTTCACTCCTCCTGATGTTTAACGTTATGCAAAGATGTGTTTCTGCCAATGAATATCACCTTATGGTTATGCTGCTGCAAATAGCCTGCTGTGAGCTGATAAAGGGATTAATGCAGCCAAAATTCTTAATCTGTGAAATTACAAATTAAATTCTCATATTAAAAATACCACCCTGAGGTATTTTTTGTGGTTTTAATTCCCCTCTGGTGTTCTGCATACACTGTGCGTGCTAATGAGGGGGACAAGGCTGTCTCCGCTGGCAGCCTGCTGCCGAGTGATAATGTGGAGGCATTTACTTCCTGATAGAAAATGGATTTAACCACTGGCTGATAAACTAAGTGGCAAGTGGGTAATAAGTCCATATTAACAGAAAAGTAGGACTACAAAATTCAGAATTCATAGACCATCAAAATCCTGGCTTAAACTCAGTCATCAAGTCAGATGGGATTGAGATGTCACCAAGGAGGAGTGATATCAAGCTACAAGTTATACTAAAAAAGGGGAAATAAACCATTTTTTTCAGTATAAAAGAATGTGCCACCAATTCATTATTTTTCCACAGTGATCTCATCTTAAATTTTTTTAAAAAATAGGGATAGCTGTTGTCATGGTCAGTGGGTATACTTTTAAAAAGGAAGTAGTGCAGAACATAAAATAAATATGTAATGTTTTTAAAAATTTACAAAGCTTAGGGGGAGTAGTGGATTATATATCTATAGTCACTTTAGGGTAAAAAAAAAGGAATTCAAATTAATTGTGGGATTATAAAAAATAATTTAGGGTAGGAATACTTAAGAGCAGTTGTTACTTATGACTTAGTTCCAAAATAAAAGGGTTATTGCTGCCAAGGAGAATTTCATACAACGGGGGAAACGTCTAAAGTTCAAAATATTAAAGAAATAACTAGGTATGTTCATGGTAATTGATGTATATTCAAGGGTTAATAAGCACATCATCAATATCTATGCATATATACAGCATATTAATTTTCAGGCAATCAGAATGAGAAAAAATCTCTCTAGCTGGCATGTGGAAAGAACGTATCACCATTAAACAAAAATGGGTTTGAGTGTTTTGCGAAATTTCACAAGAATTCTGTTTCACACTTTGGAAGAAAGATGAGATCCTCCCAGCCATAAATCCTCCCCCAAATATTTAAAAATGTAATTGAAAGAGGCTGTGTAAATATGAACACTTTTGTAAAAACAAAACAAAAACCCACCCAGGAATGTGTTTTGTTTGAAGAGATCTAGAGAAGATCTGTCTGTATTAATACCAAGAGCATTTGTAGTTAAAATGAATTATGTCTTCAGTTCTTACATGTCAATTCAGTGCATTAGCCAACTGCCAACTCTACTCGTCAGCTCACTGCAGAGCAGCCCTTTTTAAGGTTATTGTTACAACCAAGATGGTCTCTGAGAATCAAACAGAAATGAATCATTCCTCCTCTGTACTGCAGCCAGTTAAAAAGTACTGTATGCATAAATATGTAAATCATATTTTCCCTTTCCTTTATGACTGCTCAGATAATTTTTTTGGACACACACATAATCAAACACAAAGACATGCGGCTGCAAACTGCAGAGCAGAGATAGCAAAAAAGGAATCCATTTTCTTCCTGTGTCTGGTAAGCTGGCGTTTGAATGGCAGGATTCCACTAAATATATACACACAACCCCCCTTCCCCTCTGTTCTCTCTCTCTCTCCACACACACACACACACACACACACACACACAAATGTACATATATGTATATAGACACACACATAATATACATGCAAGCACATAATCTTACACATGCATATGTAAACATCAGTCTCTCTACATGTATGTTACACGTAGATGCTAAAATGATGTCCCTGCTTTGATTGGATGTTGTGGATTTGTCCTACTCACTATCAGTCAGTTCCCATAGCCGTGGGGGCAGGTCACTAAAATATTCGTGGCTCAAGGCAGCCTGTGCTGATAGTCTGTTCTTTGGGGAACATTGTAGGAGTTTGGAGGCCAGATCCTCTGCATAATTCACATAGCTGAGCCTGAAAACATAAGCACAAAAGAGAGAAATCAGGCCATACATGAAGAGTCACTCAGTAAGACATAAGGCTCACCCAAATTTTCTGGACTTATTTATCCCTGGCCAAGAAAACAAGTTAAAATTACCTGCTGAAAATAAACAGAAGCCGAATGCATGTTGGTTCTTAGAGTATCTGTTACGCTAAACTAACTGGCTTTTACTCTTGTAATCTTAGTCTCATTAATTTAAAATATTCCTACTATAAGCAAAAGGTTGATACTGGCAGGCTAGAACTAGGTCCAGAGGTAGAAAATTTCAGACGATAATTTATCAAATAGTTGCCAGAATTTGTTCATAGGATCTATGTACTGCATACACATCTGGATACATTTATAGGAAAATTAATACAAAATAACCAGGAAAATTAAAATAAAACTGCTATTAAATTCTCTAGTTACAAATGTTACTTTTACCTCTAAGAATTCACATTTTCTTACATCGAATATAAAATTTTTGGAATAAGTACAGTCAAATGTCAACAATCAAAATATTAACATGCAGGTTAACAAAGGGGATATGCTTAAACCATATGGGGCTGAATCAATTCAAGATGACCTTTAAAACAACAGTAGATAGAAAATATGTCTCAAGATTACAAAAAAAAAAAGCAGAGAAGTAAAGTCTTCCATGTGGTACAGCTTTCAAACGGGCAGCAGACCACACAGCCCAGCCCAGCCTTGCTTTTCATGGAATCTCTGTTTCACTGCTACATACAAACAAACCTGGATAATTAACATAGTAATAACAAAAGTATTCCCAATAATGGCTACCATTTATAGATAGTTGAACATGTGTCAAGCCCTCCTGCACTCTCTCATTTATGACAGTCCAGTAAGATCATTCTGTTCCAATCTGGTAACAGGAAGCTAAGTGGGAGTCTGAGAAGGTCGTGGGTTTCTCAATTAGAAGGCTGAGCGAATTCAAATCTCTCCAGAATTATAACTCTAACATGGTTAGGAGGATGTAGAGTACAGCACAGAGAATATAGCCAATAATTTTGAAATAACTATGTATAGTGCCAGCGGGTACTAGACTTATCGGGGGATCATTTCCTAAGTTATATACTAGTAAATGTCTAACCACTTTGCCATACACCTAAAACTAATATGATATTGAATGTCAACTATAATTGAAAAATTTAAAAAGTTAAAAAAAGAAAGTGCTTTGTATTTGCCATGCTCTTGGATTGTCTCCAAATTAGAGGCTTTTACCCTCGATTTCTGTGATTCTGCAACAAGGTTCAATAAGTACAGACTCAGAGGCAGCCAGAAGACTGTGCAGAAAGTGGCATCTGCCTGTGGGTATTTGTTCAAAAGCCCTGAGGCTAGTAAACACACAATTAGCCTTAAACAACTTTCCTCAAAGACCAACAACTCTCCCCATTCCCTCCTCAAGCAGCTTTTTAATATCGATTTTAAATTGTTGTGGGGGCAGAAGAGGAAAGGAAGCAACAAACCTGGGTAGAAGAAGAAAAAGGGGAAAGAGCAAAGACCTTCTCTCTAAAGCTTCACACATGGAGCGCTCTTAGATGGTTCAGTGTTTGGCAGCTGCAATGGCTGTTTTTAAAATACTGATCAGTGGATTGGTTTTAAGTATGTCTGCCTGGCAAAGGGAAATGTGTCCACAGGAGAAGGAGGCATTGTCAGATTCTCAGATTTCTTCCTCCCCCACTTTCCTTTAAGAGGGGCCAGGGCCATCACAACTAATCCTTCCTCTTCCTAAGACACTTTTCACTATTTTTAAAATATCAAATGCAAAGTTTGAGATAGGTACTTTATGTTAAAAGTTGCACTTACATTGCATGTAGTTTATCCTATATAATAAAAGGGTAATATACAAATTGACCCTAACAGCAGAACAACTGGGAATGACTGGTCACTATGACACACACTGACCACCAGGGGGCAGACGCTCAATACGCTCCCACAGGGAGAGCTCTGCTCAGCCACAAGCCAGGCTGACGGCTGCCAGCACAGCGGTGGTGGCAGGAGCCTCTCCTGCCTCCTTCCAAATGCACCTTAGGCCTGCTCCCCTCTGGCAAGTGGACATCCCCCAAGGGTTCCCAGGCTGTCAGAGGGATATCTGACTGCCATCTTAGGCCCATTCCCCTGGGGAGCGGGCCTAAGCCAGCAGGTGGACATCCCCCGAGGGATCCCGGACTGCGAGAGGGCACAGGCTGGGCTGAGGGACCCCCCTGAGTGCACAAATTTTTGTGCACTGGGACTCTAGTCTATAATAATAAAGCATAATATGCTAATTAGACCAGATGTCCTTCTGGACAACCTTCCAGATTAAGCCCGGGCTGCTGGTGGCCAGAGGGAAGCCCGGGTTGTGAGTGCCAGAGGGAAGCCAGTGCCGGCAGCTGGGGGAAGGAAGGCCTACTCTTGTATGAATTTTGTGCATTGGGCCTCGTGTGTGTGTGTGTGTGTGTGCATATATATATATATATGTATATATATATACATATATATATGTATGTGTGTGTATATATCATATATATATATATATATATGTATATATATATATATATATATATATATATATATATGTATGATATATATACTGGTGTCCATTCTATATAACTTTGATAAAATAAGACAGTGCCAGATTGAGACCAGATCTGAGTTTTAGTCCTGACTCTGTTACAAGAGTGATGAACCAGTGTGCAGTCTTTACAGAACCAATAAGCCATGAATGAAGCATGGTTTCACTATTTTGAAGATTTATATTTGTAGTTGTATTTTTGTTTTTTGCAATAGATTGCTGGTCACTTTTAAATTTTATGCATATGTACCTAACTACAGTGGGGCCTTGACTTACGAGTGTCCTGACTAACGAGTTTTTCGAGATACGAGCTTTGAGTTGCAAGCTAAAATTCAGGTTACGAGCCAGCTTCAGATACCCCACCGCTAGTTGGCGCAGCGAACCTCACAGTGAACGCCACAACATCAGCCCAGCATCACGTGTCTCACTCGTTCACTTTAAGATTTGACATACGAGTAATCTGAGTTACAAGCTCCGTCACGGAATGAATTAAACTCGTAAGTCAAGGCCCCACTGTATAATAAAATCACCAATATAAGACAATTTCATTTCTCATCTCCCAAACTGAGCAAACTTTAATAATGTCGATGAAACAAACCAATGCTTATTTGTGACATTCAGTTTATACACAAATTATAGAGTATACATATAAAATTTTAATTTAGAAAGTTTGCTATTTCCTCACTTGCATTTCAAAAACCACTTTTATTCCAACTCTCCGCATGCGTTTTCAACATCAGAGTCTTTGTGATCACCAGAACCTTTGAGCCCATGCAAGGTGTTTGAGACATGAGACTTCTAAGATATCTTTAGTATTTGAAAGTTATACCCCAAGCCAAAGGCATACCTTATCAGAATGCCATAATGATTGTGGCTATTGTTTGCAGTCTCCCATTGTGACGGCAGGTTTTTAAAAATTTTCTTATAATTCCATCAATTTTTGTTTTACATATTCTTTAAAGTCGAGTAATTAAGTACATAATAATCTAACACTGTTATCTCTTCCTGGTAAATTAAGTCATTAATCCTTCTGTAGTGACCATTTTTATCTTTAATAAAACTTTCTGGGCTAAAGTTCATTCTTTTTCTCATATTAATTTAATATTTTCAGGGGTTTTTTAATTCAATATTTGCCTGGCATAACTTTGGTGACACTTAATTTTTCATAGCCATAATGTTAAGGTTTATCTTTCATAAATACTACACAGCTGGGTTTAATACTTATTCAATTAAATAATTCCCATTTTCTAAGAAGAAAATTTAGTCTATTTACATTTTGTGATCACTGATATATTTAAATTACTGCTACCATCTTAAACTTGCATTCTATTTCCACCTACTTTATCTTTTCTTTTTCTGTCATTTTTTTGGATTTAATTTTATTCAACATTTCCATCTTCTGTTTTAGAACTATATATTCTATTTTTATGTTTAGTAATTACTTTCAATTTTTTTTTTGCATTTCAATATTTATTTAGATGTTTAAGTTCTCACAATGAGTTTTACAAGCTGATGAACACTGACAACGTATTTTTCCCAGAGAATTATAATCATACATCCAGACAATATAAATATATGATTGAGTTAATATTGATGCACACCACCATTTTATCAATTACATAATAATACAAATTGTAAGTATACAAATTAAAAGTCACACAGTTCAACAGAAATATAAAATATTAGATATATGTTCAATTCATTAGCAGAAACTAACTTCTGTTTCATAGGGCATATTCCATACCTTCTGCACAAGACAAGCAAAATATTTTGTTAAAAATCCTTTAATAGCTCACTCCCACTCTTTTTTCAGGCCCTCTCTTTTAAGTTGCACCCCAAAGTGCAAACATTAAATTAGTTCTCAGACGTTTCGTCTGGAGACTGTAAAGATATGTGCTTCTGTACGATGTGGATTTTACATGAACTTTTTCATCAGAGGTCTGTGATTTTTCAAAATGGAGGTTATCATAGCTGCGCAAAATGAGATTTATAGAAAGACTTCAAAAAATCATCATAAACTTGGTCAAAAGCCAACAAAATCAGCGGTTACACAAACCTGATGTCTCCCGTTTTAAATATGGGAGCTATAAACATAAAGTAGCAAGCAAATAGCCACAGAAGCCCTACTGTCAATGTTTGAAATGAAGGGATAAACCACAGGCAATCTACACTGGTTTTCATAGTTCCTAGAATTTTAATTCTGTATGATATTAAAAACATGTAAGTATTGTGCTTGGCATTTCAGCACCCAGGCTCTCTAAATTTCTTACCTTCTGCTAAGATTCTGGCATGGAAATAGATTTGAAGGAGACATAATACTGCATGATTTCAGGAAAGGTCAATTGATAAAAGTGATAAGCATGTTTTAAATGCTGAACAGTGAGAATCTTTTGCTAAATTTCCAACTTGGCTGATCAT